TGCAGGATAAAAATGAACCTTTCAGACTTTGTTACAAACTTCTTCTTGCTCTGTGGTCCCAAAACAGCTTGGAGTATGGACTTAACCTAAGAAGGTGAGAGAAAGGAGGCCCTGTAGGACTTTGTAGGTGAAGTTCTTGGTGATGGTCCACAGGGAGAAGTGCAGTTATTGCAGTGCCATGGTCCTCTTCATAATCGGTACTTCAACTCTTCTGTTCTTTAGAATCTGATTTTGAAAGTAGTGGTAGAAATGGTGAGTGCCTTGACAAATTTTGCCACAACTTTACCATTTTTCTCATCCTCCTTCTTAGTATATTTGTCCATAACTTTCTCTGTTGGGTGGGTTATATGAAACCTGAAACCAATAATTTCTCATTTTAATTTTGTTAGTAGATTAATAGAATCAGTCATAATTTAGGACATGTATGTGTGGTAAGTAGTTAAGAGTAGAGTATGTATAGATTAATAAATCATACATAAATTGAGAGAATGGACTTCAAAATCATGATGTTTATGCTACTCAAAGATAGTAATTTATTTTATTAAAGTATGGAAGGTCTGTAAAATGTCTGAAGTATATACTCATCAAAAAATTTAAACAGTTAAATATTGTATGCTCAATGTATAATAGTCAAAGTGTTAAACACTCTTACTTGCATTATTTCATTCTAAATACTATATATTTGATGTTAACCTATTTCATAGAGAAACTGATATTCCATAAGAACAAATAATTTGTTTCAAATTCTGTTGGTATAGTAAGGAAAACAGAAGGAATATCAGAGTCTGGCTGCTGAGCCACTACAGTGGATTCTGAAGAGCAGAATAGGTACTGTGTCTCCTGAGAAATAACTTATGGGTCATGTTGGGGGTCTGTACAGTGATGAAGCAGAAGTCCATGGAAGGGTGATTTCTGTATTCTCACAGTGGAGGCAATTGCCATGACTTAGACAACTTCTGCTTTGAGGTCTTTCAAGAAAATAACCTCATATCAGTTCCTGTTGTACTAGGAAAGGTTTCTAGAAATATAAAAATAACTGTTTTTTACCTGAAACCCTTTACACACATTAATCTGGTGAATTATTTGACCCTTCTTCAGCTGGATGATTCCCCCCCCCCCCAAAAAAAAAGAGAAGTAGAAGTATGGTGTTATAGGATGGGTAGAGTAACTATAGCTTGCAGTAATAAATTAGTATATAAAATGAGTAGTAGAGAAGATATTTACTTATTTATTTATTCTATGTGTTTTTCACATCATGTATCTTGATCCCATTTACTTACGCATACACACACACACACACACACACACACACACACACACACACACACACTCACTCGCGATGGTAATGGGTTTGCTAAGTTCCTTTATTTTGAACATTGTACATTACCTTAGTCTGTCTATTCCTATAACAAAATACCCAAGGTTGGGTAATTTTGAGCACCCAGATGGGTGGCCTTATGGTGGTGAAAACATGTGTGAAGAGGGAGAGATGACTTAGGACAGGAAAGAAGAGTGTGAAGGAGCTATTACTTTCTTTTTCAAACAATTTTCTCCCAAGACTTAGACTGAGATGTAGCTAGAGTTTTCCTGCCTGGCCCACAGTCAGGACAAATCTCTCTCACCTGTCAGTTCCACAGCCGCTAAGACCCGACCAAGTAAACACAGAGACTTATATTGGTTACAAACTGTATGGCCGTGGCAGGCTTCTTGCTAACTGTTCTTACAGCTTAAATTAATCCATTTCCATTAATCTATACCTTGCCACATGGCTCGTGGCTTACCGGCATCTTCACATGCTGTTTCTCATCGTGGCGGCTGGCCGTGTCTCTCAGACTCAGCCTTCCACTTCCCAGCTTTATTCTCCTCCTTGTCCCGCCTATACTTCCTGCCTGGCCATTGGCCAATCAGTGTTTTATTTATTGACTAATCAGCAACACATTTGCCATACAGACCATCCCACAGCACTGAGATCCACAAAAACTACAGTAATACTTTTTAAGGACTGTGCTCCACCCACTGAAGTAACCACCATACACTAGGACCCACCTTTTAAAGGTTTCACCATCTCCTGTTATCCCTCAATTAGAACTAAACTTCCAATGTGTGAACCCTTAGGTGATGTACTAAAACCCCATCCAAATTATAGCACATTATACTTTGTGTCTTTATTTATATATCATTTCAAATTAGATGCATTTAAAATTGTAAACACAGTAGAGTAGTTGTCCATTTGAGGCCCTGTAATGGGTGAACTTAAAAAAATCTCAGGAAAGGAAAAGTTATGGAAAAGTGTTGGTTTTATTTTCCTTTATTTTTGACCATTTGTTTTGTAAATAAGGCAGATCAAGAATGCATAGACAAAATTATGCTTAGTGTTATGCAGATATGCTTTTTAGAAATTTTTGACCAATTCCTCTTCCTCTTAATCAGACTGTTTGGTACCATGTAAAGATTCAATGATGTAAGCAGTTTCTAAGGAAGATGGGTCTAGTGATTTTTCCCCATAAGTATCCTGCAAAATCCAAAGAGTTATCTTGTAGGCCATGGGCACGTGTTTGTCCCTGAAGTTCATCACCCATGGCAGTGTGGTTTTATTCATCATCTTTTCACATAGGTTACAAGTGAAATGGAAAGAGAAACCCTCCATCAGTAAAAACCTGGGAAGTGCACATTTCAGTCTGTGTGGTTATTGGGTTTTCATATCTAGAATTCCACATGCTAAACAAGTGCTCCACCACTGAGATACATATCCTTAGCTCTGTAATATAATTTTTTATATATAGCATTCTGCTCACCCTTTTCCAGACCTCTCCCAAGTCTTCACTATGTTAGAAAATTTATTTATTTGTCAAGTGTCAATTTTCTATATATCTATTCCTTTTACTTAAGCTTTAAAAAAAAAAAAAAAGTTCCATCTTGGTTCAGCTTCAGTTTTCCATTCCTGTAAGCCATCTAAATGTTCTCTGGACTGCCTTATCAAATGTGTGCTAGCAAATTTGGAACTTGTCATTTTGCTTCCTTTCTTTCTCTACATGATGTAAGATCTAATTACCACCCAGCATGGAGTAGCAGCTGAAGTGAAAAAGGCAGCAAGAGAAGGTCCTGACTTAACTGGGCGGATCAGCTGCCCGCTCCTTGTATACTTATCAGCTAAAAGGAGAAGGAACCAGCATCATTAAAGCAACTCACGTTTTAAACATCCTTCCCTTTCTGATATGAGGTGTAAAGGGGGTTTGTTCAACCTTTGAGGAAGCAAGACATTAAATAATACATTTAGTTTGCAATTAGCAGTCTTTGATGCTTCTCTGAATTGAACAGAGTATTTTCATCATTAAAGTTATTCCAAGTATTCATCCTATTTTCTTGACATTTAAATAGAGATAAAACAAACATTTCCAGAATTAAAATAAAATTAAGATTATAATCAGTCCTTTTTAACAAGTTTCAGATTTTTACACAATGTTGAGCTGTCATTTTCCAAATCTCTATAAAAAACACTTCTTAAATTCATGTTTTAAAACATAAGCTTCTATATTGTGGTTGTAGGATTCTTATTTGTGGAATGAATGAGTTTTATAATTAGCTTCATATATGTCTTGGTGGGGGCGGGGGCAGTTAATAGTCTTTAAAGGATTGTGTTCAATGTTTCATTCACCATATTGTCCATGATTAAAAAATAGAAAACATATTATTTAGCATGTAAAGCAATATGTGCTCTATTATTATTTGAAGTACATGTCATTATGGCAGCTCTAGAGGGAGAATATCCCTATCAAACTTTAAAGTACAACTAGGTATAGTGATCCATACTACATCCATCCATCCTTATACTCTGGAGATAGAGGCAGGAGAGTCCAGTCCAGTGCTAGCCTTGAATTCATGAGTACCTGTCCTGAAAACAACCCAAAAGGCAAAACAAACTTAAAAATATGTACATGACCTAGCTGTTGAACTTTAGGAATTTATCCTTGAAAACACACACACACACACACACACACACACACACACACACACACACACACACGCACACACACAAGTGTAGGGGGCTGAAGGGATGGCTTATGGTTAAAAGAGTTGCTTTTCCAGAGGACCTGAGTTCAGCTCCCAACACCAGTGTCTTATGGCTCACAACCAACTGTAACTCCAATTTTAGGGGCTCTGTTGCCTGCCTTCTTTTGCCCTCTGTGGATACCTTCACATATGACATAATTTCACAGAAACACACACATAAACATAAATAAAACAATAAATTAGAAATCTTTAAAACAACATATATATATATATATACACACACAACCACATACACACACACACACACACACACACACACACACACACACACACACACACACACACACATACACACACACACATCCAAAAGTGTTCTTTATGAAATGGCAAAATAGAAAAATGTTATAATATATGTGAAAGCAGATGTATTTCCTTCTTTTTAGAGACTGGTTCTGTCTTGATAAGGAACAGTCTGTAATTGACCTCAGTAAGTTAAAGAAACATCCTCTTTGTCTGTGGAAATATGTGTGTACAAGTTTCTTCTCTCAGTCATCCCATATAAACACACACATACACACACCCTTGTAGAAAGACATATGAAAGGATATAAGTTGTGGTGCACTTTGTTAGATAAAGTAAGTGTTAGAAGGAGAATTTTTTTTATATTTTATTTTGTGTGGGCACAAATAATTTGTGTGTGTATATGTATGTGTGTGAGTATGTCCGTGCCATGGCATGCATGTGGAGTTGCAACAGTTGGTTCTCTCCTACCACCATGTGGGTCCTGGGGATCCAATTCAGGTCATCAGATTTGGTTAAAAGAGCCTTCACTTCCTGTCTCTCCCTGATGACTTTTTTATTTTTATTTTGAAAGGCTAGTTTTTTAGGTATACTTTTTATGTACCTTAAATTTTTATGTATATGTATTATTTTACATAATTGAAAAGAATTTTTATATGTATAATCAACTCTTTTTTTTCCTTCTTTAGGACTCTGCACAGGAGAGTGTTATTACTCGAGATATTCATCGTACATTTCCTGCACATGATTACTTCAAAGACACTGGAGGAGACGGACAGGAATCCCTCTACAAGATCTGCAAGGTAGGGCTCTTCCCTCACTTTTTCTAATTTGTTGTTCGGTGACCTCTGGTTAAGTTTGATATATTTTGTAACTGTTTCCATGTTTTATTTGCACTGTATTCTCTGCTTATCCATACACCACCAGATGCTTTACACTGAGCCTGGAAGGTGACCTTCTTGCTTCCTGTTCTGAAGGAGGCACAGCACAGTTTGGCTCACTCACTAGCAGGAAAAGAACAGAAGGTCCTTTCAGATGATATAATGTGAGAATTGTCTCTACTTTTTGATGATAGGCAAGCGTGAGAACTGGTGTGGGCTGCGTGTTGAGTACTGGCAAGTTCCTACATCTTTTGTGTGGTTCTTACATTTCATTTTGAAACCCTTCATCTTCTTTGTCATTAGTAGACCTAGAAAAAAAGCTGCTTCATTGTTTGTAGTCAAAGATTCTGTCGTGGGAGAAGAGCCAATAACTTAGTGATTTCTTGGGTTAAGTCAGAAATACAGAGTGAGGCACACTGGGCCTAAGTACTGTTCTCACCTGCCATTCCCATAGAGACTGTAAGTGAACAGTGGGTGACACAAACTGGCATCTGACGATGCCAAGAAAAAGCAAATGCCAAGTTTGATGACAGTGCTTAATGACCAGTTTAGCCTTTCTAATGGGTAGCAGAGAACCAGTAGCTGTTCTGAAGTATTCACAAACCCATTTCATTTGGTAGTTGCTGTTGTTTTGTTAGCACTCACAGAAATACTTACCTGCATTGCTAACCAAGAATAGTTGTTAAACTTTGTTGTTAAACCTTGGACATTGAATTGACAATGGCGTAGCTCTCAGTGAAATGCTTCTTACATGTTATGGTTTTCCTCTTTTCCTGTTCTTCTTTTCTTTCCTTCCTTCCTTTCTCTTCCCTTCTCCCTCCTTCCTCCTCTTCCCTTTTCCCTTCCTTCTATCCCTTTTCTGCCCCCTCTCTGCTTCTCTTTCTCATTTTTCTCCTCTTCTCCTTCTCTCCTCTCTAGCTCTCTACCTCTCCTGATCTAGCTATTTCAGGATATTACACAGAACAGAGACAGGGCTGTGGATATGGTTCAGCAGTGTGCTGCCTGTCTAACACCAACAGGGCTCTGGCCTTGACCTTGAGCACCAGATTTAAACAATAAAGTTAAATAAGTAAATAAATTAATCCTTTTTACATAAGTCTTTCTTTTTGAACCAGAAATATATAAATTGGGTGTATACTAATCTCTGCAAAATCTAGTTTAAAAAGTTTAAATTTTTAAAATTTTAAAGTCATCTAGTTTAAAAATTATGAAAAATGTGGCATATTCATTATATACTTATAAAAAGGTAAAAGTAATTATGACAGTTTTTTCTATAAGCTTAAAAATTCTATAAGCAAATTAGCTTCTGGTTCATATGAAAAGTGTAGGAAATTTTATAAAGTTTCTAAGTTGACTTGGAAGAATCTAGCTTGTGACATATGGAGTAGCATTTCCCCCGGCACTTAATGTATTTTCAGCCAGTCATTGGCTTTTCCCTCACTTTTTCTCTGCTTATACTACTTTTTTCATATGACTAAAACATATGGCTCTATATTCTTTCAGTTCTGGCTTACTATTTGGATCCATTGTAGTAAAAATAGTATTTGCTTCATTATATAATATTTAAAAGAGAAATCTCTGAAAAATAGCTGAACACAATGATATAGGTTCACTGATGAACACTTATAATTTTTTGGTATCCTTTGCTTTGTTGTTATGATGAATAATCCATCTCTGATCTTTTATAAAATAGTCATTTATATACACATTACCTAGTCATCTTAGACTCTCCATGTATTTTGCCACATAAATAGAAAGTGGCAAAGCTCTTTATGAATGAAGAATGTTACAAAATATGGATCTAAGATACTTATTGATGAGTAGCATAAATTGTACTAAATTTTTGAATATGTGGAAAATCAAATTCAAGGTATCAAAACTTATTCAGGAATCTAATCTTATTATATATACATAAAATACTTTTACAGTATGTTGTATGATACAGGTTAGCAGAGGTACATTGGGAGAAAATATTATAGAACCTAAAGTTTGCTAGAATTCTACTGCATGGATCATTTAGCTTGTGACTGACCTGTGTTTTTTCCTCGACTTGCTGTTCTTTAGTAGTCTGGGCTTATCAGGAAACCTTAGTTGGTAGTATAATATAAAATAAGTTTTGCATAATTATAGTATATATATTATATGGTATTTACATAACTAGTATTAGACTAAACAATTGTTTTCAAGCTTCTTTCTCCACTTCTCTTGCTTGTTAACAATTTATTTATTCTGTGTGGCTATGCTGGAGGGTATGTGTGTACATGTGTCGGTCAGGAGACCACTCACAAGAGTCAAATCTCTTCTTCCACTATGTGAGTCCCAGGGATCAAAGTCAGGTTGTCAGGCTACTTGGCAGCAGATGCACTTACCTGCTGAGCCTGCTTGCTCACCTTGATTTGCTTTTTGAATCCAATGGAAGTCACATTCCTTTCTTTGTAATACTCCTATTCCATATCTATATAAGCTATTCATGTAAGCTAAAGGATGGAATTTATCACCTTTTGTTTTTTATTGATAGGATAATATTCAGCAATATGCCTTTAAGTTTTATTTGTGTATCTTTCATAGAACCAAGTAAACATTAATGATTCTTTGTTCTTAATAAGTTACTTTTTTGTATAATCTGTAATAGAGTAATTACACTACACCTTCTTTTTCTTACCTTATTGAACTCCCCACCACCTCTAATTTAGTGGTAAAATGAAGTAGTCTGGTACAAATCCTTGTATTGTTTCTAACTTTAACAGAAAGAATGATTTTTGCATACAAGCAACGGAGTTATAGGCCTTTTACAAAACTACAGTGTTTCCTATATAGTGACACTATAGTACTTTCACATTTGTGTGGTGTTTGTACACTTATTACCTCATTTCTTTGTGATAATTTCTTATCAGTGGATGTTTTCTTCAGGTGTAATATGCTTGGCCTTCAAATTGAGCAGACATTACTAGTAATCTTTTAATTATTGTAAACTTAGAAACCAACTCCAGGTTCAAGGATATCTTAGTCTGACCTTGTAGTTGAGAAGTTTTCTGTGGCTCCAGTGAACCGAGAACTGGTCTGAATCTTCAGATTACAGGACACTGCTGAACACTTCCTGTCAGCTTTTAGTGGACCTGTCAATTCCAGTTTCACCTCTTTAAATCTTTTTTCAGAGTAGGAAGAAATTGAAATGGTTCAGAGCTTCATCTGTTGTCATAAATTTGTTTGGAGAGAGTTGTGATGAGAGTTTAATATTGGAACTTAGAGATTTCTGCAAATGAAAATGTTTGGTGCCCTCTCAACCCCTGCCACCCACTGTCTTTTCTATTCAGTATCATGTTTTCAGAATGTCCTTGAGGGGATGCTGACTGTGCTGTTGAACCAGTAGCTCTTTTTCAATTACATATGATGTAAATACGTTTTAAGCTGTGATACAACTTGGTATAATTTATAATTTATAATTCTTGGGCATCAGGAATCCTGGATCTGGTTTTGATTCTCCCATAAAGCAATGGCAGTTCTCAGTCTGGAAAAGAACAAGTTAAAAACTTCAGATAAACTTCTTTCTTGGGTTTCTTCCTCAGTAAAGGTGTGGCCTCCCAAAAGACTGTTCTACTTCTAATTTGCTGTGATTCTAAATGCTGTTTGTATTTTATTCTTTAAAATATGACAGATAAACACAAACTTTAACAGTTAAGCCCTATGTCATTCATTAACTATCTATATCAATGCTGTTAAGCTCTAGTGTGAGTACTTTGCCTGGCTTTCTGTGTGGTATTTGTATCACCACACAGAGTTTGTATAGATTTATTTTTAGTCATACATCTCTTTATAAGACCTAAGATCAATCAGTCATAATAATCAGTTAAAACATTACTCATAACAGTATAGATTAAAGTGACTTTGGGCATTCCATTTAAGTTGTGCATACTGCTTTTTCTAATGTTTTGATTAGTGCTAGTACTTTCTGAAAAAGAGGCTACTGCTATGAATCTAGTGAGAGAAATTGAATGTATTACAGAGAGATCAATACTCTTGCTTGTGTGGGTTAATAATTTGGTAATAAAACAAATAATGTGGAAAAACAAACAAATACAACTTCTATTATATTAAGTACTTCACATCAAAACACTATTGGATTCATTTTAAAGGCTAGAGTATTTAAGGTTTTGTTTTTGGTATTAATGAAACTTACAATTTTGAGAAGGCAAACAATACCAATTTATGAATGAAATGCAATATTATTAATATTGTCTTCTAGACTTAGTGAAGGTATTTATGGTTGAGAATTAATTGCTTTTCACCAAGTTAATGACATTTTTAATAGAATTTTCTAGCTATTTTACTTCTTTTAATTAAATTATCTTCTTTGGGTGCCTGAATAAACTTTAATTCAAATGAAAGCATTTATCAAACAGATGATAATCTACTTTGTGTAGCTTCACATCTTAAGATTTTATTTTATGTGACAGAGTTCGTAACAGAAACAAAGGGAGAGAAAATTCATTTTTATATCAGAGGTTTCAGTCCTGGTTCTATTTCTGTGGGCCTGAAGTGAGGTAGCACATTGTGGTCAAGCATGCTTTGTGGATCACAGCAGATGACTTGCTTTATTGCAGACTGGATGGCAAGAAGACAAGTAGCAAGTACTTAGAGCAAGATGTAGAATGAGAGACATGCTTCTAGTGCTCTACTTTTGTAATGCTGTACATCCTAAGGTTTCCATTGCTTCCAGCTGAGAATAAATATTGAACATGTCGACACTTCAAACCACAGCACCACATTTGTCTAAGCAACCCCTAAGGGTCTCATTCTTGAGATAACCAGCTTGAAAGACCTGAGAGCCCTTTGGTTTGGAGGGAGGTGCTCTTGGATCAAAGTGTACCCAAAGAATTTAATTCAGAATACATTATGCAATTGGGTTCACAGCTTGTGCCAGG